TTTTTCTTGATTTATTACTAAGCCCATTACTTTCCCTTCTGCTACCAATTCTTTTAACATACTTTCTATTTTTTTTCTGTTCTTTGTTATTATCACAATATCGTCGGCATATGCTATTATTTGTCCCACTCTCGTTTTAAGTGTACCTTTGGTGATTTTTCTGACTATATATTTCAGGGCAAGATTAAACAGAGTTGCAGATAATGAATCTCCTTGACGTACACCTTTATTTATAACAAATTCTTCTGTGTCTCCTTCTTGTGTTTTTACAGTTACTAGGGTTTTGCTCATTGTCATTTTTATTAATCGTCTTAATTTGTTGTGTATTCTCATTTCTCTCATAGCTGTAAGTAGTTTCGCTCTGTTTATTGAATCAAATGCTTGTTGGAAGTCTATAAAAAGCAGTTCAATATCTATTTTATATCCATAAGCTTTCTCCATAATTTGCTTTACCGTATGTATGGCATCTGTTGTTGACTTTCCCCTAATAAATCCGCATTGATACTGTCCCATGATATTTGTAGTCGCTTCGGCCAGTTTTCGTTGTATTAAGGTTGACATGATTTTATACGCTGTGTTTAATAATGTCAGGACTAACTGATAGATTCTTTAAAAAATCTGCATACGTGTCTTTATACCACATTTGACTATTTCTTGTTATTAACTTTTATTGATTATCTCATGTAGGACGACAAGCTACCTCATTCATCTGAAAAATATTTTAGATCAGTTCCAAAAAATTGTTTTTGAATACGTCACTGACAACTATTTGTAGTTTAAAAAATTGATATTTGTTATTAAACAATTGTATGTTTTAGGGCGACTTACGGCGGATGTGGTCCGAACCATTCAAATCCTTAGCTGTTTCTAAGCATTTACAAGATGTGTGATAGAGATTTTCGACTGTTATATTACTGTTACTTCAATTTTTAAGTATATTGAATTAAATTTAAGATATAAAGTGTGTTAAAAATGTTTTAGCGAGCTAAGAACAAAATCGTGAACAATGTGAAATTTTATTTATTACTATTATTATAATTACTATTGTGTATTATTAAATATAGCATCTATTGTCAATTGAAAAATACATAATTAGATAATTCACTAGGTTTCAAAATAACATACGTACGTTATAAAGACATTTTGTTACTTTTTTTTATACATTAAATATAGTTTTTTGCTTATAACCATTTCGAATTATTTTCTTATTTTCAAACCGTTTAATTTCATTCATATAAGGTGAGCTCAGGAGAATTGAAATTATGGAACGTTATGTGGTTGTAACGGTACGCCCGGCAGATATAGAAACATCTCAATGTTCTTTTGAAAACAGTAGTATTAGAAAGAAAATTACTGTATACAAGAGCGATGAACCTGTCAAGTAGGTATAACTTGTTCGAATAGAGACAGGCACACGCGGTACACACTTACATGGCGAAGGGAGGTATAGCGGCATACAAGAAATCATGCCGTTAAGCCGGGTACACACATGCCAGTAAATTGGGAAAGTAGCTGGCATAAGCCAGTAACTGGCAAGCACAAAACACATTTGTTAGTAATCGTCATGCCAGTAACTCGCTTGGCGAAAAAGCAGAGTAGATTTTTACATATGCAAGTGCTAGTAAACAAGCGAGTGGTTTTCATCTGAAACTAAAGTACTTGTTTTATAATTAAAAGGTTTTGAGTTTCTAACAAAAAAAGGGATTCTGGAAGGTATTCGGAATGAATTCAAAAAGCAAATATTGCTGATGACCACAGATATTGTCAGAAATTTAATAATAAATTCGAAGCGGAACTCAAAAAAAAATTGGGTGAGAAAATGAATTGGTAGGCGAGAAAATCTTGGAGCAATATTGTATTTTGGCCCTTATCTCCTTCATACTAATACCTTCACCCATTTCCTCTTAAGAAATGTCACAGGCTATTTTATTTTTATGTAAACATGATTTAGAATTCAAAAGACACTCCAATTCTCTATATATAGCAATAAATTTGATGGTTTTTTCATCACCCCAACGAAACATTTTTTAAATTAACTTTAAATTTAAGTTTAAAAATAAAACGATTAATTTTAATTATCAATACAACAAATCTGACAATTCTCTGCTAGCTACTGGCATGTCCGTAGCGATAGCGCACACACGCCAGTGACACGCATGCGCATTGCTTCTCACAGCATGCTACTAGGAAGAAAAACTCAAATACTTTGAAAATCTCAAAGAAAATCTTAAAGCAATTTTTTATTTTGGCCTCATCTCCTTTATAGTAATACCTTTACCCATTTTCTCTTGAATTTTTGTGTAGGCATTGTCACGGAATATTTTATTTTTATATAGAGATGATTTAGAATTTAAAAGACACTCCAATTCTCTATATATGGCAATAAATTTGATGGTTTTTTAATCACCCCAACGAAACATTTTTAAATTATTAAGTTTAAATATAAAACGATTAATTTTATTACCAGCACAACAAATCTGACAATTCTCTGCTAGCTGCTGGCACGCCTGTAGCGATAGCGCGCATTCACACATGGTACTAGCAAGAAAAATAAAATTCTTTGCAATTAGCTAGCATGCCAGTTAACGCACACACATGCTAGTTTGGGTACAGTAGCTGGTGCTTACTAGGTACTGGTATGCCATTGTGCTAGTAACAGGCATGTGTATTTCCGGCTTTAGCATATTAGTTGATCTTATCTCCAGTCCACACCAGTAGATGTTTGAAAAGAATCGTCTAAGCTTTCTCTCTTAAGTTTTCTTTTTTTTATTGTTTTATTCGTTAAGACAGACACAACGAAAGTCTCAAGGATGACAAAAATCTGTAAAATCGTTGATTATTATTCTCAAAAATCAAATTAGATAAAAGAACACGATTTGACAGACGGAGAAGATTCGCTAGACGGAAAATAAGACTAGATTTGACAGGCGGAGAAAGAAAACCAGTAGCCAGATCAATGATGTAATATAGTATATCACATCGTTGAGTCAGATGGAGAGGAAAAATCAACTATCGTTGGGAAAAATACGATTTTCCAGCCGAAGAATGCTAATGGATAGTTGAAGTTTGAGACAAAAGAATGAGGAATATTTTTGACTGAACGAAAAAGAAGACTAATTGACAGACGAAAACCCATCGGTCACACCTGGCGGCAATCATCAAAAGATATCGCTTTTTCCCACGGTCTGCAAAATTATCCCATTTCAAACCGTCCTAAATTCTACTGGTTGGTTGATTATTTCTTTTGATTTGTTACATCTGTCTACTTCTCACAGCTAAAGTATATCTACCAGTTTCAAAACATTTTCGCAAAACAAAACTACCTCGAAAAGCCAAATTTTGCCTTCCCAAGATATTTATTAATCTCTATAAGCCTGAATAAAACTTTTACACAATGTTGTTCATCAATTCATTTATCAATTCTTTTTTGTTTATGTCAGGTATTTATTAAATAAGTCCATTTTTTATACATTTTTAAATGTGTTTTACTTAATTCATGCTGTGATAAAACTCATATTTTTCAACGACAACAAAGACATCTTTTTACAATTAGAGTAACATGTTCGTTATTATAACTAAATTATTATCACTATTGCCAATGTTGGTGAGAATTTGCAAATAGTTGTAAATGTTAAAACTAATTCTAAGTAATCTTTTTTTTTTGAAAATTTAAAATCCTTTACTTGTGAAGATCTCTTCTGTATAATAAAAATATGAAACTTGCCCTGGCTGGGCTTTTAGATATTCTTCCTGACATGGCTTATAATTATATTATTTGTCCATGACTATTATCAATTGCTATTTTTCATTGAATTTTAGTTAAATTATTTAGGCAGTTTAATAATCATGGTTTATAAAATTATTCACAAACTTGAATTTCCAGTCCTTCCAGAACTTAATAATATATCAATGTGCGATGTTACTTATTATAATATTAAACTTTTTTATTGCACAATTAAACCAAAAGTAACTTTGTCTTCTCAAAGTTACAATCGTATGTGGTTGAAAATGAATCAACTAATAAATAAGGATCCAGACCTTTCTTATTATTAGTATGTATTTACAAAAGTGCTGATCTATTAAATTAAATGCAGTTTCAGGAGCGGTAGGCTTAAAAATGAACTACAGTAAATCGAAAATACTGAGCCGAGACCAGACAAATATAACAATACAAAATGATACCATAGATGTTGAACATTATGTATATCTAGGTCATGTCATCAAACTAGGAAAACCAAATCAAGATGCTGAAATTAAAAGAACACAACTGGCATGGGGCGCTTTCGGCAAACTAGCATATATCTTGAAAAACACTTCCATTCCTGTAAACTTAAAGAAAAAGGTGTATAACCCATGCATACTACCAGTTTGTACCTACGGCTTGGAGACAGTAGCCCTTACCAAAAAATCTGCTAAAAAATTAGAAACAACGCAAAGAGCAATGGAACGAATATCACTGAGAAACAAGAATAGAAACACCGAGATAAGACGTAGAACGAAGATTAGGGATATTGTGGAAGAAATTACAAAAAAGAAATGGCGCTGGGCAGGTCACGTACCCCGATATAATGACAACAGGTGGACACGTAGATTTCTAGAATGGAGACCAAGGACGACAATAAGAAGCAAGCTCAGAAAAGATGGGTAGATGACATAAAAGCAGTAGCAGGCAAACAGTGGATTAGATTGGCGCAAGATAGAGAAAGATGGAAGCAATTGGGAAAGACCTACATTCAGGAGTGGATGGAAAATGGTTGACAAAGACAAATAGAGCTGATCTATGATTTTTGTAAATTATGTATGTATTATTATTTTTATACGCATCAATATTTCTGAGAATTTTGTGCCGTGAGGCCGTTGCTTATTGCCTGTAGTTGACCCTGCTTTGTTGTATGCATTCCTGAAAGTTTTTGGCGATATTTAATTTTGACGTGGCAGCATTTCAATTCCTCTCATATTTTTTTAAATTCCCCATCATCACTTTAATAAATTAAAACAACTTTATCTTTCAAATATATATTAAATTTTATGTCTTTACAAATAATAACTAGAGTTAATTTCTGACTATACAAATAAGAAAATCACACACCTGAAAATTGTTAACCAAACAAATATACAACTTAAAGAACGCGGTGCGAAATAAAAATATACAACAGCAATTGGGGTGCAAAATAAATGAATAAAAATATACTAGCTAAACTAAGAAACAAGATGCCATAATTATACCACGGTGTCAAAAGTCAACTACAATAACAGAGAAAGGCTTTTGACATAGGTGAGAATCATAAAATAATATCAACCAATTGGAAAAATGCAACTAAAAAATGGAATCTGTAAGTTTTGTTAAGTCAAAATTGGTATGATTCTGTTGACGTAAATTTGAAACACAGGCAATATTTAAATATGGCCCATAAAGACTTATATAATATATTACATTATCTAACACAGGTGCTCACTTCGAAACGAAGAATGCCTTAATACGGCACACTCGCCCCCTTCTCTTTTCTAATGTGCTACACTATATTATGAGCATATGCTTATTTCTGATCAACGTTTCCTCTAGTAAAACCCAAGATTACCTAAAGATCCAAACGACCCGTTGATCACACCAGGTATTTACCACATTCTTTCAACTACTGGTTTAGTATATTGGAAAAACAGAATGCATCATAAAACTCCATGTAACTGAACACAAGAGGTACGATATCACCTTGATCGTATTGAAAAATCAGCCACTGTATTCTTCCAATAACGTTTTAAACAGTTGTTCAAAGTTCCAAATTACTTAGAAGGTGATACACATATACTACATTAGTCCGATCAAAATATTATGTCCTTCCCATCTTTTTCATATTCTGACCACTTCGAATGTACCAAACCTTTTTTCATTTTTGCTTGGACCAGGAATAGCTTTAGTTGGTTATATTTGTTCATAATTTAAAAATAGTTTAACCGAATCTCTTGACCATTATTACAGTACAGTATTTATGCAATACTCAAATTGTTATTTGTGATGTATCTTCTTTTTGTTGTAATTTTTGTTTGCATACTAGGTGCATCTGTCAGCACAGTTGGTATTAATGACCTTTTTCCAGTGACATATGTCACATGTCACTCATATGGCTCAAAGTGTATAACTCTTAATTTTTCTTTATGAAAATAGATTCAACTTGTGTATATACATTTATATTTTGCAATAATTGTTTGTTTATTCGTATTTCGACCCTGTTTCAAAGAAAACAGAAACATCTTTTCTTTTCAGAAGTAGGAAACATCATTCTCATCTTCATATACGTTCAGTAATTCTATGTCAAAGATTACCAATTTTGACTTACAATTGAAAGACTTGTATTTAGCGAAAAATTGCAAACAAACCATAAAGTGGGTAATTATTTCAACAACTTTCGGTGTGAGATATACAAATGTCGGCGAATAGTGGGAACCAAAAAGTATTTGATTCTTGAACAAATAAGATTTCCTTCAAAGTTAAAGAGTATTTGAAAAAAGATGATTTAGGCTAAAGATATGTGTATTTTACTGGTCGTGTACACAAAAAACGGTGAATACCGTAGATATTTCCACTTTGGTGTTAAAGATTTTCCCGAAGGATTTTCCACTCGATTAAAATCACAGCCGAGTGAAGAATATCAGGAATACTTATTTAAACTGCAGTTTAATGAATAATTTTACACTTAGAGCACGTTTATGTACAAAACAGATAGCTAATTGATATATTCCCTGATCTAGGATCAAAACTAACATGCTCCGATTTTAAACATCAATATACATACACAAATCCTCAAATTTTGGATTCCTCAAATCCATAAACTCAATTTTCCGTAACAAAATAATAATTTAAACAAATTTTTGGTATTCTCTAAACAACGAAGCCCATTTAGCACGACGTTTTGATCCTATTGGTCTAGGTTTGTTCAAGAATCAGCTAAACATATTTTTTGTTCCACAAAAAAGGTGAAAAATGTTACAAAACATTGCAGTGATCCCGTAAAAAAAACAAAAGCTACCTACTAGGTAAGCATTTGGTATATAAAATATATGTACCTACTAATGTGTACGTTACGATTTCTTCTCAGGTGCTTCATTCGTAAAAAATATAAATATATAAGAAAAATTGCACGTAAGTTGACAAAATAGTACTCAACAAACACTAGTGTTTCCTCTAAAAGACCTCCGCTATTTAACAGTAGCTAATTGATTCTGAAATCTTGTTGAAAAAACGTTAGATTTGTTGCAGACCACAATACAATAAACACCGCTCATGCGTTTTCGCTGCGTATGCTTGACTTTCTTAAGGTCATAGAGAAACGCTAGAGTCATTGATAATGTATTCATACAGTAAATGCTATAGGAAGTTTGTTAATAAAGATTAGGTAAAATTGAAGCAAAATTAGATCAAAACCATGTGCGCAAATAAAGTTCACAACAATCTATAGCATAAGGAAAAATTGTAGCTCCCATTTTGTAAGAATATTAAATCGTGTGTGGATTTTAGAACCGTATATTAGATATAATGCAATAAAAGGTTAAAAATACCAATTGTTGCAATACACTTCTAAATATTTGAAGGGCAGTATCTTTTTTTTGTTCTATTATATTATTTAGAGGTCCTAAAGGTATAACCTAAAGGTAGATGTTTCATTCGTCGCAGGCATTTCATCTTTCATTGCTTACTCAGATGTTATTAGTGTAAATAATTCATTAATTAGTATTCCTTAGCACAGACCGCTGACGTCACGCCCACAAGATGGCGGTGAAAGGAAGCGTTTGATATAGCAGTATGTCAACTGTCAAAAAAGGTTTGTAGTTGCGCCATCTTCTGGAAGTAATAAAGCCGAAATTGTGGGTAGCCTTCAAAAAGCTGCAATGGACTACCCAAGCTCTAACGTCACAATGGGCGGGGTATTTTAAAAACCTTTTAAAACATTTCTTATTTGTATGTATTTGTCCCAAAAGAAGTTGGAAATATTGGTTTTTTAATTGTTTGACGAATGAATAAGGACTTTTGGTTACGAACATTCATTTTGTGCGATTGGTATTATTTACTGTTCGTGAATTTATGAGATAAGAATATCAAAGTATTTGAAATATATACGTTTTGGAGAGCTCTTGTAAGGTTCTGGTCCAGTGTAAAGGGAAAGGAGAAGAAAAATTGCTCAAAATCATTTGGCACGCCAGAACAGCTTATACAATTAGAAAAATACAATTTTAGTCCAGTATTTATTTGCTTACATCTTTGAGCAGAAGTTTCCTGAATTTTAGTGATGTTTCTGTAGTGTGACACAATGTTGTTTTCGTTACAGTAGACCTCAGATTTAGACTTTCAATTCCTTATGTTATAATTTGTAATGAACTATGACGAAAACTGAAAAACAACAAATAAATTCATAAGATACTGTGCTATTTTCTGTATAGTAGTTTTTGTTCAATTTCCATAAAAAGCTATATTTCTTAACAAACTTCGTGTAAACCATTGCTCTTAAGACGATAGACTCACACATTTAAACCAGATTCTTTTAATATATAATATCTTAAGCAATTTAAAAAACGACTTGACGAATTATTAAAAAAAAGTTAAAACCGTTTTTAAAACAGACCTACAAATTATTTTCTTATAAATCCATAGAGATTTCTGACCCCATACAGATAGTTCCAATACATTTGTAAAGGTATTTAAATAGCTATGAAAACATTCTGTCCTCACAAGCAATACCCAATGACGTCATACGTCAGAAGATCATCACGACCTTAATTATTTCAACGCTTCTTAATTTTCAGACGTCGCGTCAAGTTTGAAAGACCATTTTGCTCGAATTCTTATTACTAAAAGATACTAGTAAGTGCAAATCCTACTAGTTTCATATCTTGAGGTGTTTTTACTTCTCTGGGGTGTCATATCACCTTAAGCAGAGATATTTGTGTGCAAATTTGTACAATAATTAAATTTTTGCGCAACGCCATTCAAATTTAGAAGAATAATCTATAGCAGCAATATTTAAATGTTAATTAGATTCAAAACAATTACGTGCTTTGTATATACTAAAATAAAATACAAATTGATCAATTTCTTGTATAAAAATAGTTGCACTTATATGCATTTACAAAACTTGGGTCTCACAGACTTAGCGCGACTACTCATAAGAAGAGCGACAACCGCAGAGTAACAGATAAAAGCTTTTAGTTCTGTTTTAAGAGTTTGATTCCATTTTGTTGATTCATTCTACTCTGTCCCGCGCTTTTTAACGCATTGCCAAATCTTTGACGTGCAGTGACGATGCACCCACGTTCTATCTACTGACAGACCTAATATGTATTCATTGAATTATACGGAAAAACAGACTAAACTGCTGGAATAAATTTTAAATGAAAAGGAAGGAAGGAAATCTTTATCTTAAGAGCAATGGAATTAACAAAATACCGGATTTGCCTACAATTCTGCGTTGGTCCCGAATATCGACTAGAACCAAATGAACTACTACTGCCATGACGTCACACAAGAAGGATACAACCAATATACATTCTTAATTAAATTAGCAAAAACATGAAAATAAGTTTTTATAGGATATTTTTATTCGCAATTTATTCTTAAATTTGTTATAAATTTTAATATAAAATACCTTAAAAGTCAATATTACTTTAACTTTATGCGCATAAGGCACAATAATTTAAACTGATACAATCAAAATATTATTTTTGAACTTCTACAATGGAGGTCTTGAACTGGGGTCTTCTTTTCACTTAAAAATATGTAGCCAGTTGTAGATTTAGGGTTAGGTAGTACTGTCTTCACCAGAAACAATATTTATAATATTGCGCAATCAATATTACACTCCTATTTCACTTATACCATTTTATTGCGCAAGTTTTCACTATCCTATAGATGTTTAATGTGATTGAACAATATTAATTACTGTGCAATATTAGAAACATCAACTTTACCTTAATTTTAAAAAATGTGCAATCTGTTGATATTGCTAACCAATAGATTTCCAAAGAATATACCACAAACTAAGCTGATTTTTTTAGTGAAATATAAATATATTTGAAGATCATATTGCAGCTTCTATATATTTATGTAGATCACAGCCTAAAGAAAGAAACTTTTAACTATATAAATGATTTCTGTTGAAAATGGATAAACTATGTTATGATCCACCTTGAGTAAAATTGAAAATTGGAATTTAGTTCTGTAAAAAAAAAAAAAATATTCCTTAATAACAAGGAATGTAGGAATGTTTTGGCACGAAGAAACAGGGCAAAACTATAGAGATAAAGAAAATACCCAAAATGCGATCGAAAAATATGTGGCAAGAAGAAGGAAAGTGAAAAGAATTTGCAGAAAAAAGAAAAGAGAACAGCTAGAAAAGCAATTGAAAAACATAGAAGTCTACATAAACAAAGAGGTAAAGAATTTGGAAGTATAAAAAAATAGTAAATGGTAGAGATGTAATATCCTTCATAAAAATAGGTAGGCTTAGATGGGCTGGACATGTGTCAAGAGCAAATGAAAATTACCCACCCAGACGAACTCTATTATCGGTCCCAGTGGGAAATAGGAGTAGAGGCAGACCACGACTGAGATGGAGGGACGGTGTGGACGAGGACGCAAGGAAGATCGGCGCGGCAAATTGGCAACGGTTGGCGATGAACAGAAACGACTGGCGAAATAGACTGGGGAAGGTCAAGGCTCAACTAGAGCTGTAGCACCACTGATGATGATGATGAAAGAATTTCTACCAAGAAGTTAAGAAATCCAGAAAATCTACAAAGAATAATTCACAGTATTGTAGAAACAAAGAAAGCTTACTTTTAGGTGAAACAACAGAAAAATTAAACAGATGGGCGAAATATTTCGAAGATCTATTAAACACTGACCAACAAGAGGAACTTTAGGGAAATGAGAATTGGCAAGAAGATGAAGAAGGACGTGCAAGGAACCAACTCTGAATGAAGTCAAAGATCTAAAAAATAACAAAAGTGCAGGAGAAAGTGGTATCCCAGCTGAGATTTTTAAGGAAGGTGGCGAAAGATTGCAGAAAAGGATATTTCACTTGACACTAACAAGTTGACAAAATGAAGAAATGCCGAAACAATGAAATAGTTCTCTTATTTGTCCTAACTATAAAAAAGGAGACAACACGGAGTGCGAAAACTATAGAGATATGGCCCTATTAGAATTAAAATTAGATTAATAAAATATAACAAAGTGATTGGAGAATACCAAGGAGGTTTTAGATGAGGAAGAACAACTACTGATCAACTAAGTATGTTAAAATTTCATGATTTTAAACACGCATGTGACTCCCTAAATCCAACGATGCTATATGAGGCCATGAGAAATACCAGAAAAGGAACACGATGAATAGGATAACAATGCAAGGAAGCTTTTTAAGACAGTTTACAGTGTTGAATAGAGGTTTAAAACGAGGAGATCCGTATCAACGAATTTATTTAACCTAGTATTAGAACCAATCGTTTAAACTGCACTTTATATATGGTTCTTTGTATTTTATATACTACTAGAATCAATATCAAGAAATATATGTGATATACATATGCTTTGAGGTGTTTTTGGAACACTCATTGGTTAAAAATTATACAGAAACCTCAAAAAACTGAAACCAAAATAACACTAGTGTCAAATTCTTGAAATGCTGTAACACGAGCACTTGAACAAATACATTTAGTACACAAGTTAAAATACATATTACAGACTTTTTCTGTTATTATACATCTGTCGGGGAAGATTTCTAAGGTTCATCCCTCATGTGACGTCTGACTTTAGTGATCCATTACCGGCGAAAATATTATGATAGAATAAAGTAAACAATAGTTTTCACAACAACAAAATAAATTTATATTTTCAATTCAAAAAGTTTTTTTTGTAATTTTTCAAAATAGATGCAAAAGAGTATCAAACATTTGTAGCAATTTTTTCTGAGTCTTCCTACGACTAAGCGAAGAATTTATTGTTAAAAATATATTATCACTTGTAAATTACAAATATTCCCTTTTAAATAAATCTGTAAGTAGATATAGGTACGATTCTGTGTTTTTGTCGATTTTCCACCAAACGACAATAAATACTGACGACGACTTGGTTGCCGAAACCAAACTTTGCGAAATATTACCTGAAAATAAGGAAAATATGCAATTAAAATTTATAAACACAATATTTAAAGCAACATGACAAATTAATAGGGGAACAATATTAACTTTTACTCCTAATTTCTGGTAGTAAGTAGGGAAAATGCAACACATGTATTTTCCCCTATACACTACCTAAGATACTTGGCCTAAAGTAATTCTTTTTAGTTTTTTTCTCCAGCGGAAGTGAAAAACTACAGTTTAATCAGTTTTCTCCACACGTTCTTCGCCAGATTTAGCACCATGTGACTATTTACTTTTTTGAAATTGAATAAAATGGCTCGCAGAGTGACATTTAGCAACTAACGATAAAATCTGACAGAAGTAACTGACAGAAGAGTTCAGAAAAGCCTTTTGGGTTATAAAAAATACTCCAAATTTAGCGTTTTCTTACTCAAGCTAGATTCATGTCAAACCATCTTCGTATATGCAACGGCAGATGGAAAGAAACTTCCAATTAGCGATAACTAATAAAATATTTTCTTCTAATTAGCTGTTAAAACTGATATGAACCTAAGACATCTAATTTCATACGTTAATTTAAATGAAACATTAAACGGATTAGACAATAATATAGCTCACCTTAGTTTGTCTTCAGCAGCCGCTTTGGCATTAGCTTCTTCAATTCTTAATCGCTTTGTTTGTTTTTGGTGCTGCTCTTGGAAGTCTCTTTCAGTTATATCCAGTCTATTAATCTAAAAATAAGAAAATATCTTCATATTTAACGTCTCCGTGTGGATTCAGCCCCAGTGAAATAATAATCTTATACGAAAATAAAGTACACTAGTAAACATAATACGCCAGCTGCATACTTTAAAATTTAAAAATTCCAAATTTTAATCTCCAAAAAGAATTTAAATGAATTTGAAACTACCAACAGTACAGAAAACTTAAACTAACTAAAAAGACAACTATGCTATAAAAAGTTAATTTAAGAAAATAGTAAATGAACAAACTTACATTATAAATTAAATTTTCTTCTGATAAAATACTTTCTGGCGGATTTCGTATCCTAGCTAATGTCTCACATAGTCCAGGACATTGTCTCCTACTTTTCGGCGTACCTAAACACCCTAAAAAACAAAATACAAATAAAATAATAATTATAATAGTAAAATGAAAATAGTCGTGGTCAAGGTATGTGTCGAATGAAAGTGTGTCAATTGTGTCAAGGAATTATTATATGCAATTCAAGCAATGAAAAGCGCAGTAAAGCCGGGTTTACACGATGACAATTGGCGAGACAATTGTAAGAAGACAACTTACTGGTATGAAATTACTGTCTTCTTCTTAACACTTCAGGCCAATTGCCTTGCCAACTGCCCTTACAATTGGCCCAAAATTCAGTTCTCTCCGGGAATAGATTGAGGACAATGAGCTGCGCCCAGTGAGCCCCCCACCACTCAAAATCTCAATTGTCGCGACAATTGGCGCCGTGTGAACGGTGTAGGCCAGTAGTGCTGTCTTGTTTTTTGCCAGTTCCCTCTAGTTCTCTTGTGTCAGTCAAAACATACACGTGGTTTGTGTTATTTGTAGCTGTCTACTGCCATGGCAATAGTTGGCTCCGTATAAACATCTTCTCGTTCAACTGGACTGGCCTCCGATAATCCACAACCACGTGGAATGGCCAACCAATCAATAATATACGGTTTGCCGACGACACTATTTTATTAGCGAAATGTCTTGAGGATTTGCAACAAATGGTTGACAGAGCGATAGAAGTCAGTGAAGTAAACGGACTGTCCCTAAACACAAAAAAGACACAATTTATGGTAATTACAAAAGCACAACAGCGCCAATAAAACATAACAATACATGGAGAACAAATTAAAAAAATTTAAAAATATTACATAGTAATAGTACACAGAAGAGATTAAGGCAAGTATAGGACAGGCAAGACATTCTTTGAACAAATTGAAAAAAGTACTCTACAGCAGAGACATTTCAATTTCTTTAAAGATAAGACTTCTGAGATGCTACATGTTCTCCGTATTATTATTTAATGGGTTGGAGGCTTAGACATTAAAGAAAGATGTTTCAGACAGATTAGAAGTCTTAGAGTTATGGATCTACAGAATGGATTGTTTTAAATACAATTAAAGTCAGAAAACTGCAATATCTGAGACATGATATGAAGGGCGAGCGTTATAACTATAGATAAAGTCACGTTCAGATGGCAGTGTACGGATATAGGATAACAGCGTTGCCAATTCTACTGCCATTGTAAGTTTTGCTACTTTTGTAAAATAAGCAGGGCCAAACTCACGGTAAACTAAGATATGTTTAGGTAAGCTAAAGTTGTTAATAGAAAAATTAGTGAATGAAATAAATGGTAATAATTCCTAAAATGCTTTTATACATAATACCGCAGTTAATGGGCAAAAAAATATGAAAAATATTCTACAGGTTTTTTAATGTTCTAAACGGTAGATAAGGGATAACCGATGATAATTCCTTGAAGAATTACAGCCAATTTTGCTTTGTTTATTTTTTAAAGAAAGATGAAGTTTGGAAAAAATCATTTTTTTGCCTATTTTGTTCCTCGTGCATTTTAGGGAAAAATGTTTCAAATAAATGTTGCAGATCTTAAAAAGTTTGTTAATCTTTTAGTTTGTAAATTAAAATACATAAACAAATGACTGAGATAATTGCAAAAAACCCCTAATTGAGGCCCCTAGAACACAAGGGTGTAAGTGCAGTTGCTTATCACTTACCAACTGATATCTAACAACAGGCACGTACTTTTGGCTTCAAACTTTCTACATTAACAACAATAACACCATCAAAAATTACATGTCATTGAAAACATGCTGAAAACTGAAAAAGTGCTACCTAGGTTTTTAAATTTATATCGAACTTTGAACAAAGATTTTTCAAAACTTTGTTTTTGGCACTTACACCCCTTGTGTTCTAGGGGCCTCAATTGTGCACTAATTTATTAAATGTTCATGTTTTTTTTTGCATAATTACGTCTAATATAACTACTTGAAATTATGTCGATTAATGAGTTATTTAAGTGTGCTACATTTCAACCAGATCAACTAAATATTTTATTACCTTTACTGAGAAAAGAATACCCCCGAAAAACAATTTTCAATCATTTCCACACCATTTCTATTGGGTTCAGTTCACAGTGATAAGGCGAAAGTCTTAAGATATGTACATCTACGCGGCATTGTTCGTCACTGTGATTCCTGTATTTTTCACCAATACAATCAATTTTGTATTTGTCATAAATATTTTTAAATACATTAGCAGTTTCCAGAAGTTCATTTTTTAAGTAATCTTCTTCAAAATAAATGTCCTTTTCATAGAGCCACTCCTTAATTTGACGTTTCACCCAATATTGTTTGGGAAAATTTAATTTCCTAGAGTGATAAGATGCATTGTCCAAGATAATGACATTCTTTTTATTTTTTGGGAGATTCGGTATTAATATCTCTTCAAACCATTTTTCAAATAGATTTCCGTCCATCTCTTCATGGTAATCTTCAGCACCTTTTTTGGCAAGAAAAGTGATGTCAGCACCTTCAACAAATCCGTCTTTGTTTCCTGCATGGACTAAAACAAATCTTGGTCCTTTTCCGGTCGGAGTTTTTAAACCTGTGGTAAGTCCATTTACGAAAGCCTGTCGGCTATTTTTTATTGTTGTATCTTGCCATACTTGCCCATTGGTTATTCCAGTATTAACCCATGATTCGTCCATATAAATAATATTGGCTCCTTTGTTCCTCAGTTTCTTTATTTCCCGGAGATAGTGACGCCTCCAAGCGACTATTTCTTGTTTTTCTAATAATATTGAATTTCTACCTTGTTTGCCATATATAAAACCCATGTCGTGCAATAGCCTTCTCAACGTACTCTTGGAAAAATTCGGAAGATGCTCCATTTGCTTAATTTTTTCTAGTACTACGTCAAGGGTTGGAGGAATATTGTCCATAAAAAAACCGTGCACTACTTGTCTTATTCTAGACCGAGTTGCTTCATCATATCTATTCTCACGACTATTCAAATAACCGGTTCTTTTTTTTTTCTTATAGGAGTTACGAGTGGACCATTTTTACTTTCACTTCTATATCGGAATATCGTTCGCTCAGAGACTCCAGTCATAGCAGAAACTTCCCACACTATTGTTGATACACTTTTATCATTATTACTGTTTGATAAATAGTTAAAAACATTTAACACTATTTTTTTGCATTCACTATTTAACAAATTACCGTTTTTGAATTTTATTACACTCGCGGCCATTTTGACACTGACACGACACAAACGTCTGATATCAACTGAAAATTCTTTTAATGACTCTCAAGCATTTACCTGAATTTATAATTGCTGGCATTAGACAATAATTTTGAATTTATAAATAGGTATATTTTTTTAATTCTAAATTATTTTTTAATGTCTGTAACTGTAAGTGCAGGTAAAGAAAGTGTGTCATTAAAAGGACATTAAGATCAAAAACGGATTATACAAATAATTATTTGATTTCCACGAATTGTAAACAATTTTGAACAGAAGATATAATTCCGAAAAGACCAGATTTCCGAAATATAACTTTCTATTTTTAAATTTGCGGCCATTTTGACACTGACACGACACAAACGTCTGATATCAACTGAAAATTCTTTTAATGACTCAAGCATTTACCTGAATTTATAATTGCTGGCATTAGACAATAATTTTGAATTTATAAATAGGTATATTTTTTTAATTCTAAATTATTTTTTAATGTCTGTAACTGTAAGTGCAGGTAGAGAAAGTGTGTCATTAAAAGGACATTAAGATCAAAAACGGATTATACAAATAATTATTTGATTTCCACGAATTGTAAACAATTTTGAACAGAAGATATAATTCCGAAAAGACCAGATTTCCGAAATATAACTTTCTATTTTTAAAATACCAACAGAAAAATTATATAATTAAAAAAATGTAGTATTTTTCCGTTTCACATTCATAAATATTTCCGAAATTATAATTCTTTTATAGGAGCCGGCCCATAACGTACGATTGTAGGTACGATTAAAAACTGACAACAATGTAGTTATTTCTGGCATATAGAAAGTACAGGCCTATCGCTGTAACGCTGCCATCTGAATGTGAATTTATCTATAGTTGCAATTAATAATGCAAGGAAGAATACAGGGTAGAAGGAGTCGCGGAAGAAGACGCATCTCCTGGTTAAACAATTTGAGAGCTTGGTTTAACTGCACTTCTGCTGACCTCTTTAGAGCAGCGATATCGAAAGTGCGAATTGCCATGATGGTTGCCAACCTTCTTAGAGGAGATGGCACACGAAGAAAAAGAATCATTGAATAATTTTTGTCAGTACATTTAAATATTTCCGTACGTGAAAAAAATTATTGAAATTTACTTGAGTAATAATTAGAAATGATGTGAAAATGTGAAATTTTTTAAGGAAAAAATTTCCAGCGTTAACATTCGATATGAAAAAAATTATTATTGTAGTGACGCTGCTTTTCAACTGACTTACATATTTTAGATTTCTTAGAAATACTGTTATTATAAATAAACTAGTGATTTTGAACGTCGTCGTACAACTGCCATTGCGGGGATCGAACCAACTGCCATTTACAGTCACCACACTCAATTTTGTCTGTCTCCATTTTCCACTCCCACTCTCCAATTTTTTCTTACTCCCTCTAATTTTTCTAGTAAATTCCTCATATCCTTCTCCAATAATTTCTCAATTCAAAGTAAGAATAAATCCATAAACGGTAGTAAACCCATTCACACGAGCATTCGTTGTACTTTGTATGTAGCAAGTGTGAAATGCAGATCATATGCAAGAATAAAACAAACTTGTAAAATAAAAATGACTTCAAATTATTGATTTATTCATTCGTAACAACTAATTTTAATTTCGGAATAATTATTTAATTAATTTTGCATACAATTACACATTTGGAAGTGATGGTTTTCAAAAAACACCCTCAGTTAATGACCAACCATCGTCCGATGTGTGTTACAATCGCAGACGAAACCAATATGCCCGGAAAGCAATGTATCATTATATAAGCAAATATAATCATGTCTTACCAATGAGTATGACTAACGAGGTTTTAAATAGCACTTTAACTCCTTCGCACAGAAAAACATCCCAGACCCTTAAAAGTGTATCCCACGGTAACGTCCTAGTAAACGCACATAAAAACCATTCGGTACAATAAAACATCGGTTCTGCGTTGACCTTTTTTAAATGCCTGTACACTGGTGGACATACTTTCTTCAAAAGTCCTAGAAATAAAAATATTAAAATTAGTAAATAGGCAATAAGAATGGATCGATATAGTGTATTTTATTTGTCGTCCGCAATAAACTGGTTTCCGAGAGTTGTAGCAGCAAATAATTTACTGTGAAAACGAAAACCCAGTGACTCAAATAAGCCAATAAATTAAGTATACTGATGATGAAATCAATGAAATAACGTTCAAATAGCAATAAATGACAATGTTAATTGGTAAGATCAGTTAAATAGGAAATAAACTCTTACCTATTGAATTGCAACGTTGCCATTATGAGCATACTTTCAGGGCAATCACACAAAAACAACAATAGTGTTTGTTCAATGAAAATGAATTGAAAAAGTATAAAGTTACAAATACTTGGGGACTTCAATAAATGAACCTGGAGACCAAAACAATGAAATAAAAAGACGTATCGAAATTGCCATGGCCACCTTCATAAAGATGAGGAAATTCTTCCCTCTACGATTAAGAATGCTAAGGGGCTGCGTATTTAACACGCTATTATACGGTGTAGAGGCCTGGACTCTCAAACAGAACAACATAAAAAAATATTGAAAGTTTCGAGATGTGGTGCTACCCTCGAACACTGAAGATAAGTTGGGTTGAAAGAGTCACAAATTTTGAAGTAATACGAAGGATAGGAAAAGACCCAGAAATGTCAACGATCAACCGAAGACAACTCGAATATTTGGGTCACCTGATGGGAGGACATAAATACGCTTTACTTCAAAATATAATGCAAGGAAAAATAGAAGGAACGGAATCCAGACCGTAGAAGAATGTCATGGTTGCGTAATTTAAGAGATTGATTTGGCTTTACCACTAATGAACTCTTTAGATCATCTGTAAATAAGATCAGGATAGCCTTGATGATTTCCAATCTCCGATAGGAGTGACACAAGAAGAATGAAAATGAAAAATGGCTGATCTATAGAGTGATGACACGCATTCAGAAGGTCAAAAAGTAAGCAAATATATAAAAACAGTGAGAAGGAAGTTGAAGTTTGCAGGAAGAGTCGGAAGTTCTCAAGGACACTACTAAAAATTCAAGGAAAAAGTGAAGAAACAAAAATCGATGCAGATGACATTAGGGAAATAAGTAAAGACCAAAAAGAAAGCAGGGAAACACAGGAAAAGCTCATTATGGCGAACAAAGAGTTGAGAAAAGAAAATAAAGAGCTTAAACATAATACATGGAGATCACGGAGGAACGTAGCTGAATAAAAGAAAGCATGCAAATTATTAAATACAACATGCGCAAGCAGTGTTAAAGGACACAATCGGAAATTGTATCAAGGAACATACTGGTGTAGAAGTTAAAATAAATAATAAATACTTATAAACTAGTTAGCTGTTAAAATAAGAAACGAAAATGAACCTTAAATTGGAACCTGCACATCAATAAACTACAACATTCCTGCCAATCTAGGTTAAATATACTCAAAGTTCTGTCTAATAAAGTTTGCGGCTATAATGGGTTTATATATAATTGGGTTTATAATGTTTGTATATGTAAACATATAAATCACTTATTAATAGTAAACTACATTACGGTTGCATTTGTTATAACGACGCAAGCAAGACTACCTTAAAAAAGCTTAACAGTATTCAATCTACAGCTTTGAGATTGGCGCTTGGTGCATTTAGAACTAGTCCCACTAGTAGTCTACAAGTTCTAGCTAAAGAGCCACCTCTAAACACAAAGCGACAACAATTATCATTAAACTACATTGCCAAAATTTCAATTTAAAAACAACATCCTCTTTTCTCTCAAATTTTCAAGCTGGCATCTTGTCTTTAAAAAAAAAAAAACAACAAACTGCATAGTTTAAAAGTCGGAACTTTTAAAATGGATTAACTTAGTCTATTGCTATATACAAATGCAATCTCTCCTCCATGGACAACCCGCCTACTGACCATTGACCTAACAATAAGAAAGTACCCCAAATCAAATACAAATTTCTCGATAATTAAACATCTTTTTGCAGAAAGCATATCCCATTACTCCAACTATTTACAAATATTTATCGACGCGTCTAAAACCCCAGATGGACATGATGCTGCTTACTATTCTGATGAAGAAAACTCCTACAGCTTACACTTACCTACAAATTGTAGTACTCACAGGCGAGACCACAGCTTTATTAAAAGCCTTAACTTTTTTCAAAACGAGTAACACTGTGAAGTGCGTCATCATTACAGATTCACTTAATGCGTTATTGAAATTAAAGCAAATGTCTTCTTCTTCTTCTTCTTCTACTTTTTGTAGATCTTTCGATCTGTTTAATTCTGAAGCTGCCTCTGGTTAATTTCTTGGGAGGTAGATTGCCAACTATCCCTCCATCTTTTAGGTGGTCTTCCGGGGGGTCTTGAACCGGGCGGATTGTTTTCTAGGGCAATTTTTGGGAGTCTATTCTCATCCATTCGTCTTACATGGTTGTACCACATCCTCTTGCGCTGCCTTCCCCATCTTACAATATCTTGAATTTTGCACTGCTCTCTAATGTTTGTATTTCTCACTCTGTCTCTTCTTGTTTTCCCCATTATTGTTCTTAGGGTTTTCATTTCGGCAACCCTTAGCATCTGTTTCGTTTTGTTGGTATCTTCGCGCACTTCTATGCCATGATCGGTCGTATGCAAGTCTTATAGATTCTAAGTTTACTATCTGTGCGCATATACGGATTTGACCAGACTATCTCCCGCAGACATCCTGACAGTGCAGATGCTTTGTTGATCTGACTCCTCAGGTCCTTTACTGGGTCGTGGGTGCTTGATATATATATGCCCAGATATCTGAATTGCATCACCTGTTCTATGGGGTTGTCCTCAACCACTAACTTACATCTGAGCGGATCTTTTGCTATTGTCATACATTTAGTTTTGTTGGTAGAAATGTTCATATTTAGTAGTCGGCTTTTTTGAAAGAACTGAAAGAGCTGCCTTTGGAGATCATCTTCTGATTCGGCAATAATTGCTGCATCGTCTGCGTAACACACCATACCAATTCTTTTGTTGCCCATTCTATATCCGAGATTAAGAGATGTTACTTTGTTGATAACTTTGCCCATGAGAAGATTAAACAAGAAGGGGCTTAAACTGTCGCCTTGTCTAATTCCTCCCGGTGTTGGAATATTTTCAGTGAATTCGTCTCCTGCTCTAACTTTGGTTACGTTGTTGTTATTTAGGTTATGGAGTATCTTTGTTATACTGGTCGGTGTTTCATTTTCTATTAATATATTTAGAATGTCTCCCAGGCGAACTCTGTCAAATGCCTTCGTCAAATCAATGAAGCAAATATACGCTGGCATGCCGAACTCTATAGCTTTTTCTTTTATTTGTTTTATTATAAATACTGCGTCTGTTATAGACCGCCCTTTTGTAAAACCTTGTTGTTCTTCAGCATTAGTGATTTACTTTTCCAATTTGTCCTTGAGAATACCCGTGAAAAGTTTCATTGTTGTATTTAAGAGGGTTATTCCTCTATAGTTTTGTGGGCAGGTTTTTTGTCCTTTTTTAAATATGAAGATTGTGATACTATTATGCCATTCCTCTGGTGTTTCTGTTTTATTTAATATTTTGTTAAATAGTTGTGCCAGTTTACTTGCAAGTTCCGGGCCTCCATATTTTAAAAGTTCATTGGGTATACCATCCGTTCCCAATAGTACCTATAAAGCAAATGTATACAACAAAATCCCATTATACAAACAATACAAAATGAATTAGAAATACTTCATTCCATGGGAAAGGACACAGGTTTCATTTGGATACCATCGCACACTGGAATCTGGGTAAATAAAAAAGCAGATCAAATAGCAACTACAAGCCGTATCAACTTAAAAGATACTACAATAATTACTACAAAATATCCTTATAGTGACATGAAACATCTGATTAAATTTCATTGAAATAGCATCTGGCAAAATTACTGGGAAAATTCAGCAACCAAATTAAACCCAATATGCCCAAAAGTGAACAGCTCTTTGAATAACCCCACAAGTAGACGAGATCAAGTAATTTTAAAACCGTTTAAGAATTGGTCGTACTGCTGTCACAGACAAATTTTTAATCAGTAAAGATCCATCACCAATTTGCAACAACTGCTCCACTTCATTGGCAGGGAAACACTTCCAGCTTGACTGTCCATGTTTCCAAAATCAAAGAAAAAGTCATGGAATTTCAGACGACCTCAAATCCATCCTGACAGATAAAAATTTAAATGTATTAAATTATTTAAGAGATATTAAATTGTATTATATTATTTAATGTACATAATCATATTAAAACTGTTGTGTTTGTAATCCCACTAATAACCCTGCGTGGTTGATATGGAATAAGTGTTTTAAATAAATAAAAAAAACGATGATTTTAAAACACCTATTTACATTACTATATTGTACATAAACTTCCAACCAATTTATTCATCTATATTTTAATAAAAACTAACTAAAATAAATGAACTGACCTTCTAGAATGAGTCCGTCCCTCTTCACAACATCCATGGAAGGCGAATAGTAATCTTCAAGATATTTGTTAGATATCGACACTAGACACCAAAACGCTTGAACTGAAGGCATATGCATTAACAAAAAAGCTGCCACGGGCGCCTGCGCTTGGCAGTAGCCTATGTCGGGGAAATGGACTGTGTATGCCTTCAGAACGTTAAACAATTCTTGCTGACTAAAATCATAAAAAAAAAGGATTAAAAACGTATTAAAATACAGCTAAAAGAAGATGTGTGATATGTTCTGGTCCGTTGAACCGGATGTCCTAATATCAACAAACGGACTACTTTTCAATATGCACTGGTCACATGTTCATGAAATCGCGACACATTAAATAAATGAAAAAACTACTTTTCTAACAAATCATAACTGTTTTATAAATAACTTTAATATTCTTACCCTGGTTTATCTTCAGAAGAAAACATCTCATGCAAAGGGAACTGTCTGTGTATATCCTTCTTTATATCTTCTATACATTTAGGATCCGCTTCCGCCCGTAAACATTCTTCGTATTTATCGGGTTGCTTTTCTAATAATACTTTTCCCCCGCACAAGTAAAGCCATGCTCTGGGCCTCATCGATTGGGGGATTCCTGGAAAAGTAAAAAGTACAACTAAATAAATATTTAAGTGATGTCTTTGACTGTTACTTGATGGAAATTCATTTTATGTAACAATAAGATGCTGACAACTTTTTTTCAAAACTTCTACAAAATTTATTATACCTTATCATTACAGCTGTTTCGACGGAATAATGTTTTAGGCAGAGATGTTAACACATACCAAAAATAGATTACTTGAGAAAAGCACTTTGCCAAAATAGCTGTAGTGATAAGATATTATAAAAAAATTTGTGGAAGTTTAGTTTTGAAAACAAAGTTTTCAGTGTTTTATTGTTAAATAAATATTTAACATCAATTATAACGATAATCTAAATCTAAATGAATGCATGGATTGGTAAGAGTGAAATGGACTCTACAACTGAAGTAATTACTATTATAAATTCAGTTGGGTAATATTATAAAGTTATCAAATATAAGTTAGAATAAGTTTCCATAGTCAAAGAAAAACTAGTGATATAAAATATATACCGGTTTATTATGTGTACATGTCTATCCGAAATAAAAGAAATGTAAAGAGAAACGAGAGGCCTGCACGAAGTACAAAACATCAAATATGTTGTCAACTTATCATCAAAGTACAAAACTTATTTTGTCCTCCGTCACAAAAAAGTTGCAGAATCTTTATTCCATCTAGATTTATTTATTTATTTATTTAGCGTATGGCTACATCACAGGTTCATATATACATATAATATAAATTATATAAATAACAAACAACAGTAAATACAAAAATATTATTCTACAAACAAACATCTAGATTATAAATATATTCGATTGACTCTTTTGTAGCAGCCAAGAAATCTGAAGGGTTGCCGTTATAGGATCTAATCGGGCATTCCTCTACCATGTGTTTTATTGTTTGCCTTTCGGCGCCGCAGTCGCAATTTGGTGATTGTATTTTCCCCCATCTAAAAAGTGAGTAGGAACATCTGCCACAGTTCGTCCTTATTCTATTGAGTGTGGTCCAGATTCGTCTCGGTTGGTTGAGGCCCTCAGGTTTGCTTGTAATACATGGCATGTTCCAGTTAGCTGGTGCAACGTTATTCTCCCATTGTTCTCTCCACCGTTCAGTTACATTAAAGTTTTGATCTACTAGCCTTTTTGCTGTTTTTAGAGGCGGATGTCTTGAACGGAGCCTATTTATGTCTCTGGCGGAAGTTCCGACATGGGAGCGGAGCTCAGGATCAGTATTGATTTTTGTAAATTCTCTGACAAGGGCATGTTCCTGGCGGATGGGTGGTCCCCATCCGCCGGGATGATGGCTATATGACTCAAAGCTGGTAACCAGTAAGTGGGATTGACCTTGATTGTGCCCGATATAGTTCGCATGGCTTGGTTGAGTTGGACATCAACACGGTGAGTATGTGGACTGTTTATCCATACTGGTGCAAAGTATTCCGCTACGGAGTATACCAGTCCTAATGCTGTCGATCTAAGTGTGGGTGCTGAGGAGCCCCATGTAGTGCCGCAGAGCTTTTGCAAGATGTTGTTACGAGTTCAGAGTTTTGCAGCAGTCTTAGTAAGATACTCTTTAAAGTTCAGCGTTCTGTCAAGTGTCACACGTAAGTATTTTGGGTGTTTATTATATTTAAGGAGTCTATCCCCAAAATGGATTTGAGGTTGATAGTTGGCCATCTTGTTGTACAAATGGAAGCAGGACACTTCTGTCTTAGTTGGATTGGGTTGCAATCTTCATTTGCGGAAATAATTCCCTAGGGCATTTAAATCGTTTGTTAGAATGCGTTCAGTGACCTCGAATTCTTTATGACTTGCGGCAAGCGTCCAGTCGTCTGCGTATCCAAACTTTTTTGATGTGGTTTCTGGCATGTCTGCTATGTAGAGGCTGAAAAGCATGGGAGCCAGCACGGCTCCTTTTGGAAGTCCATTATTCAGTTTTCTTTGGGTACTAGTCTTGTCTCCCAATATAACTTTAAAGCATCTGTTGGATAGCATGGCGTTAATAACCTCAGTGGTCTTTCTGCATGGGATTATTCGCATTAATTTATATATTGCCCTTGTCGCCACACAGTGTCGTAAGCAGCAGATAGATCGATGAAGACAGCGGTTGTTTTTAATTGCTTTTGAAAGTTTGATTCCACATAATTGGTCAGGGCGATTACCTGGTCTGTACAGCTGCGGTTTGGCCGAAATCCTGCCTGTTCCACTGGTAAGTGTTGGAATATGGTTTTGCTGATTCTATTATACAACAGTCTTTCGAACAATTTGTACACGATACTTAAGAGTGCGATGGGGCGGTAGTTTTTTCGGTGAATTATTACTTTTCCCTGGTTTTAAAATGGCGACGATTTTTGCATTTTTGAGTTGGTGGGGGACGTTTCCCGTTTGAAGGATGTCAGAAAAGAATTCCTCGAGCCATTGCCTAGTGAATCTGCCGCTATGTTTGAGGAACTCAGCGTGAATGGCGTCGAAACCCGGCGCTTTTCCTGTTTTCATTTCATTTAGGGCTTGCAATATTTTTTCATGCGTAAATGGGTTGGAATATTCTGTTGAGTGTGCAAGACTAGATTTTATGGTTTTGAGGTCTTTTTTAACCTTAATTGTATGTAAACGATTTTGAGGTGCCCTAGAGGTTGACACTATGTGCGTAGCTATTTGGTCTGGAGTTACTAGGTTGGTTTGGCGAACGGGTGGGGTGTAAGTAAGTCCAAATGATGCAGAACAGCAGATCCTACTTACACAAAACACCGTCCAGCTTGATCCTTGCTCCACGTATCAAAATGGGGACGTTTTGATCCCATATCATCTCCCATATCAGCAGAAAACATAAAAACTTTAAAAACGTACTTTGTGTGCATAAAATGCGTCAGATACGAGTGTATTAGACAATGGCTGGACTTGTATCTCTTGTCTTTTGGTACTTTCCCTGCATGAATCGTGTTTGTAACTCTGGTTACGCGCCGTGCTGATAGCTGCCCATAGCTGAGGTAACAAATGTTTGTCAAACTCTTAATGGATGTTTAGAATTTCTTTTTTTTAGTAGTACCTATGTAACCAAAACAACGTGTCATATTAAATTATTTTTGGGTTAGAATTATAGAGATAGAATAACGCCACAAGTTATTAGGGAGTACTTGGCCCCATCTAATAGACAAATGCTAGATTAATCTACATTACTTTCTTCAAATACAGGTACCTATGGTGGATTTATGACACTCTGACGCTAGGAACACAAATAAATAGATTTATAGCGTTTTGATTGATTTGCACACTTTTGATAGCAATTTTCTATTGGAAATATTGCGCTTGGAAAGAATTGGCTGTGACCACTGGATATATTTCATAACAAAGCTATTGAGTATTAATTAAAGTCAAATTCTGAAAAAAAAAAACAGGATTTATTGCGTTTTGATTGATCGCTCCTCAAATGATGGTGTTTTTCAAGGGTAAACTGTACATGTATTGTATTTTCGAAATAAGATTATTCCTAATATCGTCCAATACCTTGCAGTAAGATTGGGTTTGCAGTTCAGCTGTTTCTGTTTTTCCAGATTTTAATATCGCTATAATAATTTATGTCGCCAAATTTCTAGTTTATCTTCTTTATTAACGGAACTTCCTAGATATACAATTATAGACCACTTCATATCCGGCATTCGAAATACATTTAAAAAAACCGTAATTCATTTTTTGCCGTTTAAAATACTAATCGTGACGTAACGAAGATTTATGGTTGGGCTAATTTTAAAAGTAATACATACCATGATTAATTCATCCTAACTTTGTAATAGTTACTTCGAATCAGCCTACATTTCGTAGAATCTCAAGAAGGAAATAATAAAATAACAAACCGCAGTCGGTGTCACGCTTCAACGATCGTTTCAATTAAATAATTTAGAAATTTTAGGGGGACGAAATTATTGTCGCGTACAGTATTGTGTGAATTAACGTGAGCGCAAATGATAATTTCAAAGAACATTTATTAGTTATGGACGAAGAAAAAAAGTAAAGAAGAATATGATTTAAATGGTTTTCATACGGAAATATATATATATACCATGGGCGCATAGCTCCTCTAGCCCCCTCCAAGGATTTGGCTATCTCTTTAGGACAATGTGTGTGCTATTAACGTATGGTCCTAAAGTTTTGGGAAAAAATTTTAAAAGCATATAACTATGACCACAATCTTATATTTTTATTAAATTATTAATTTACTCGGTGTCAATTTCTCTAATTTTTTTATATATGCGGCGTCTTAACTGTTCCTGATTTTGTGCTTCCCATCCGTTATTATAGACTTTCCGACTTAATATTGCCCAGAACTCTTTAATTGGACGAGCCTGAGGTAGGTTGGGGGGATTGTCTGCTTTCGGTACAAAGGTAATAATGTTGTTAGATTCGTACCAGTCCCTTGTGATCCTCGCGTAATGACATGAAGCAAGATCTGGCCAAAAGACTATTTGATCATTTGCATGATGTGTGTTCACAAACTGAAGCAATTTAGAGAGACATCTTTGAATATAAATATTTGCGTTTAAGGCTTCGACTCGAACAATATCAATGTAGGGCTGTGAGATAAAGTTCTCACAGCCATACCACTGCACACCATACCAAAATTTTGTCCTCAAATTTTTTCTTACTTTTGAATTTTATTTCATCAGGTACATTTTCGTAATCGTTCGTGTAAAACCCATCGTTACCCTTCATCTCAGAGTTGGACAAAGTAAAATATTTTTCATCGTCAATCACGATAACTTGTTGTTGACGAAATGCACTCGCCTTAACGCGCGGCAACATCTCGGAATTCTCTTTAATTGATCCTTTGTGTATTTTGGAGCTTTCCTTCTTTTCCGGTAGATAATATTGTTACTCGATAGGGTCCTGTATACTGTAGTCTTTCCAACATAAAATCTTCTGGCCAGTTTTCGCTGTGAGACCCCAATTTTGTTCTTAGCTGCTTCACTCAGCCTTGCCTCTCTTATATGGTTCAAAATCCGCGGTCGGTCACTTTTACGCAAGTTACCACATGGTATCCCTTCTTCACATTCTCTGATTGTGCGATAAATTGTCGATTTGCTTATGTTTTGATCTCGATAAATATTAACAATATATCGTTTCGACATTCTTCTTCTTCTTCATGTACCATGTCCTTTCAGAACGTTGGTTACCATCATAACTATTTTAATTTTATTCACTGCCACCCTAAATAGCATGCTTGTATCTACACCATACCAATCTCGCAAGTTCTTCAACCATGAGGTTCTTCTTCGTCCTGGACTGCGTTTGCCTGCTATTTTTCCTTGCATGATATTTTGTAGCAATCTACATTTGGGACCTCTCATTACATGTCCGAAATATTCCAGCTTTCTCTGCTTGATGCTTTTTATGATCTCAGTAGTCTTGCTGAGACGTTCTAGTACTGTGGAGTTACGAATCTTCTCCACCCAGGAAACTCTTAAGATTCTTCTATAGCACCACATTTCGAAAGCCTCAAGGCGATTTAGATCGATTTTATTCACAGTCCAGGACTCGACAGCATAAAGTAAGACCGAGAACACGTAGCAGCGAAGTAGGCGGATCCTTAATGCCAATTTTAGGTCTCTGTTACATAACACCTTGGACATCCTTCTAAAAGCAGCTCTAGCCTGCTCTATTCTGGATCTAATTTCGCCGTGATTTTCTGCATTACAATTTAATTGCTCTCCAAGGTAGACGATTTTATCAACTTGCTCAAGTTTGGTATTATTTACATATATAGACGGTTTTATATTCTGTTGTTTACTTATTACGAGTATTTTGGTTTTCCTTATGTTCGTCCGCATATCGCAAATTATTGATGACTTCTCCGTTCAAAAGTATTCCTTCTTGTTTTTCAGAAAGTGCTTTTCTGAAAATTCTTTCGGAGTAAACGTTAAAAAGCAGGGGTGACAAGAGGCATCCCTGCCGTACTCCTCTTTTAATATTGAGAGCTTGTGAATCCACACCATCTACTAAAACTGATGTTGTTTGATTCCAATATAAATTTGCAATTATTCGAACATCTCTGCCGTCCAAGCCAATGTCTTTTAGAGCTTCGATCAATATAGAGTGCTTAACACGATCAAATGCCTTTTGAAAGTCAATAAAACAACAGTATATGTCTACAGATATATCACGACATCTTTGAGCAAGTACGTTCATTCCAAACAGTGCCTCTCTCGTTCCAAATCCGTTACGGAAACCAAACTGAGTGTCATCCAGGTATTCCTCACATTTATTGTAGATACGACCATGTATTACCTTCAGAAAAATTTTCAATAAGTGGTTTAACAAACTGATGGTTCTATAATCAGCACAGGTTTTTGCTGTTGTCTTCTTAGGTAGAGCTATAAACAGTGAGTTAGACCAACCATTAGGTAGTTGTCCGCTGGTATAAATGGTATTGAAAAACGAAGTTATAGCCTCTAAAACATTGCTATCCTTTATAAGCTTATATATTTCAGTTTCGACATTCGCCCAATCATATTATAAACACCTCGACGAATATCAATTTTATAAGACATTTTGCAGAGCACAAACCAAAATATTCTGCTTTGTTTATTAAATGTCAATAACTGATGACATTTCAATTCCATTGCCTTCTTTGTTAAAAGCATTTTGCTTCTCCATCAGACCAGGTGAAATTTTTCCCAAAACTTTAGGACCATACGTTATAGATCTAGTGCTGATCTTCTACCGACTATTAACGACACTAAATCATTTCTCAGAATTCGATGTTCTTCCTTCCAAGATCAGTAACAGATAAAAAACTTCTCGGCTTTCAAAATCCATCAAACATCCAAAATTATCCTTCCCCTCATTTCTTTTGGAGTTTAAATTACGTTCCCCTAATAAAAAAGCTTTATCCCTTCCTGTTTTTTCGCTCTTCCTTCTACATTTTAATTTTTTTTTACATCTTCCAAACTTCGACAATACACCTTTTCAATATCTCTTTGGGATACAGTTTTGATGAATGAAATAAACAATCGTAGTGCGCATTTTGGGAATATTTTGATTTACGCCCGCAAAAATAAAATAATTAAAAAAAAAAACAAAAATATTTGGACTAGAGAAGTGACTAAAAAGATAAACTTTACTTAAAATTTAAATAATGGAAATTTATGAGCCATTCCAATGGATAAACCAGAATGCACATTATAAATATCATAACATAACATAAATAAATTTTTAAACAATCTCTAAAAGAGGATATTACCTTTCCTGCAGCGTTCCTTCACCTTCCTATAATTCGAATCCATATAAAAACTCCACTGAGACAACATCTTGAGCCATTTTCTCTCTCGTCTTAGCACCGTTTCGGCAGGAGGGCCGTTTCTGGGCTCGGGAGAGTACTGAGCGCCTCCCAGGAATCCGTGCCGATCGGGTACTGTCGAAATGACGCTGCCATCTATGAGCGTCGAGGCTTCTGAGCAGACAGAAATCGTATCGGCCGACGTCATGTTGGCGGGAAAGGCTATCATCGGTCGAGATACATTTTCGAAACCTGCAAAAAAAGTAAATAGTGTCATAATACTGACTTCTTTTACTTTCAATTTCTAAGATATGTTACAGTTACTTTATAGGCGTTGAAAGCTCGCCTGTAGCTAGGAATTATGAAAAACGTTATTAAGTTATCCTGCAAATATCAGACGACTTTAAGAAGTTCAAGTTGATAAGGACACTACTCTTACTAATTAACTTTACGAAAATCCTTTATACGATAGCTAGTTCCCAGGAGCAGCATAGCCGTATACGACGTAAAGAAACAAGAAGCATGACGCTAGCTGGACTAAACGCATTCTAGACTGACGTCCAAAGTTTCATAAATATAAAAATATAAGTAAGTATTTAACACGGGGGACGGATAACATTAACCCATTTATTCCCAGTATAAGTGCGTTTTCGAACCACTTACTTCGCGATTTTTTTAACAGCAGTATTTCGAAATATCACATATTGACTGAATTTTTAGTTTCTCGCTATTTCTTTGAACAATAAAAAGAGTGCAGCCTAATTGCATTCAACGTTTTTCAACGTAAAGCCTTAATGAAAATGAAAAAAATTAAGTCATAATTTCATGGTTGGTTGAAGACGAAATACAGCGGAATGAAAATATTCTTTATAGTGAATTGTTCTGAAGCTATTTTCTTGTGGCATTGTAAATTAATTACTATTAAACTGGGAATAAGCCACAATTAAAGATAAAAATACGTTTATTGACGTTTCAATTTCCACTTCGGAAATCGTTCTCAAAATACAAACAGTAAATTAAACAAATTTTGTTTTTTGTTACATAGTGAAAAATTCTTCTAATAATTTAATTTTATCTGACTCATTTATATTGACAATTCTGACATACATTATGCATTTTAAAGTAGACGAATTTAAAATGATATTGCCAATATTGTTGAGTTGCGCTCCTGGGACGACTTTACTTATAAGATAGTTCATTCGATTACATGAAATCAACTTTAACTTGAGAATATCCGTCAGAAAAAAATCATAGCATGTAATTCGTCTTTAAAAAGACAAACACACGACATGATGACAGTAAAATTCTCCTGTTAGTGATTCCATAGTAAATTATGAGGGAAAACCAGGAAAAAAACCTCATAATACTATCCCGACATTGTAAGTATTTGTTCGTGAAGTTAGTTTACCTTCAACAAACATCAAAATTCTGATTTTATATGTTACGTTATTTAAAAAACATAAATGATGTATCCTCTATATGTTACTGACTTACTAATACTGGTATTTTCTTATTAATAACTTCCTCTTTCAATATTGGTAACCAGATCCTAGTACATTCTGCCGAGGAATTTGCGACACAATTGGCCTCATTTAGCATAATTAGAGCCGCTTCTTTGATTTTTCTTTTTTACCATCCGTTTCTTTTAGGACTACATTTGAATTATTCCATTGAACCCTATGTTCATTATCCCATGCGTGTTTACAGATTTGAGATCTATCAAATTCTTTATTTTTAATATAAGATTGATGTTCACTTATTCTAACATTTAATGGCCTTGATGATTCACCTAAATAAAACTGATCGCATTCACAAGGTATTTTATAAATGCAATTCTTTGTCCTTTCTTGTTCATTGTTAGGTTTGCTTTTGGACAAAATAAAAAAAAAAACCATTTTTGATCAGTTTTATTTAGGTGAATCATCAAGGCCATTAAATGTTAGAATAAGTAAACATCAATCTTATATTAAAAATAAAGAATTTGATAGATCTCAAATCTGTAAACACGCATGGGATAATGAACATAGGGTTCAATGGAATAATTCAAATGTAGTCCTAAAAGAAACGGATGGTAAAAAAAGAAAAAATTAAAGAAGCGGCTCTAATTATGCTAAATGAGTCCAATTGTGTCGCAAATTCCTCGGCAGAATGTAGTAGGATCTGGTTACCAATATTGAAAGAGGAAGTTAATAATAAGAAAATACCAGTATTAGTAAGTCAGTAACATATAGAGGATACATCATTTATGTTTTTTAAACAACGTAACATATAAAATCAGAATTTTGATGTTTGTTGAAGGTAAACTAAATTCACGAACAAATACTTACAATGTCGGGATAGTATTATGAGGTTTTTTTTCCTGGTTTTCCCTCATAATTTACTATGGAATCACTAACAGGAGAATTTTACTGTCATCATGTCATGTGTTTGTCTTTTTAAAGACGAATTACATGCTATGATTTTTTTCTGACGGATATTCTCAAGTTAAAGTTGATTTCATGTAATCGAATGAACTATCTTATAAGTAAAGTCGTCCCAGGAGCGCAACTCAACAATATTGGCAATATCATTTTAAAGTCGTCTACTTTAAAATGCATAATGTATGTCTGAATTGTCAATATAAATGAGTCAGATAAAATTAAATTATTAGAAGAATTTTTTCACTATGTAACAAAAAACAAAATTTGTTTAATTTACTGTTTGTATTTTGAGAACGATTTCCGAAGTGGAAATTGAAACGTCAATAAACGTATTTTTATCTTTAATTGTGGCTTATTCCCAGTTTAATAGTAATTAATTGAGAATATTCTTTACTGTGACATTCATAATCTAAAATAATTACACATTGTATGTAAGTATATAATGCTTTTTAAATATCTCTGATGAATATTTCCTCTGATTACAATTTAAGTCTAATGGTGCGTTTTTGCACCACTGGGAAAAACCTTGTATTCTACCTATACGTGATACGGGTTTACTGGAAGTCTTCAATCCCTTTTGATTTCAGAAATAATAATATTAATTTTGTTTTTGTTACATTATAGACTCAGTTATAATCCTCTTAAGTTGTTCTTGAATTTTAGATATATATTTTATTAAATTTACCATCGAAACTAGGACGAACCAAAGTATAAACAAATAAATATTTCTAAGCCTTGCTCTAAATAAATCCTCTCAAGTTTGTCAGGAAAATTGAATATCCAATTTGTTCGAATTTATTTAATCCCCTTCTCGAGATAATCAAATAAATTTTCCGACACATTACATGATTTTCCATTACTGTATCTTTCTGAACCTATGAAGATACGCCCTAAAACAGACAATCTATCCAGTTACTTAGGCTCGGGATCAGCATCTTGGTCCACTGGGCAACATCTTTCGTTCTGTTCCACTTCTTGTCAATTTCCATTCCCTTTCTTCTTTTTTATAGCTGTTGTCAAATGCTCCCTTCTCTCATAAAAATGTCTCTTTTCTATTGCACATATGAAGGAACACAACCCGTCATAATCCACAAAGCCACCGCAGATACAGTCCTGTAGGCGCATGATACTCGCAACAGACTCGTTCTGTCGACTCTTATTATGAGCCTAATATTAGGTATTTATATCTAAATATAACAAAAAATATTACTAATTATTGTGTATTTATACAATAAGTATTGTATTCTACATATTTAAAGTGGTAATTTAATTATTAAATTAGCTTTTAGGATTTTTTGTATTGTGTGTGAAAGACAAGTTACATTTTCCTACTATTCGTTAAGTATATATTTTTTACTTTATATGCTCTGGAGGATTTTAACTCCCAAACCCCCCCCCCCCCAATCGATGCTCCACAGATGAGCCTTAAATCACAACATAATAATTTGTTGATAAGACAATATTGAAAATTATCGTAGCATTTGTATACAATCTGCAATCCCTAAGCTTTTCGACTGTCTTATAGCAAAGCGAATTTCTTTGTAATGTAAAGGCTTAATATCTCAATCACATGGTTTCCATAGCAAAAAACCCACTGTAACAAACTTGGTTTGCTGTCAATCTGATATCTCATATGGAAGACCTTAAACAGGTAGATGCAATATACACATATTTTTCCAAAGCATTTGATCGTGTAGATCACCAAATACTTTTGGGCAACTTAATTAATTGTATCTTTTCTACATCTGGGAGAATTCAAAGAGTCAAGATAGGTTGTCATCTGTCTGACAGTATCTCAGTAACATCTGGAGTTCCTTAAGGAGGCCACACTTCTCCACTTCTTTTTAATATCTTTGTTAACGACATCACTTCCTGTTTCCTAAATAGCAAATGTCTAGTGTTGGCAGAAGACTTTGGAAGAAATTTTGGAAAGTTATAGATAGCTTAAAAGTTCAAGCCTTGCTACAAGATGACTTAGACCGGATACAAAATTGGTGCAATCAGAACAAACTCCTCTTAAATGTAAAAAAATGTTGTTTTATAAGTTTTTCTTGTAAAATCGATAGAATTGGAACAAGCTATACTATTAATAATCAGTCACTGAATTATATTTCTTCTTTTCGGGATTTGGGTGTTATTTTCGATGGGAAGCTTACTTTCTGTGACCACATAAACTCTATCAATATAGACATGTAAACTTCTTGGTTTCGTTACTAGAAATTGCAACTATTTCTCCATTGATTCAACAAGATTAGTGTATTGTTGCTTAGTTAGAACTATTTTGGAATACTGTTCAGTTATTTGGTCACCCTATTCTCAGAACAATATCTATACCATAGAAAGATTCCAGTAGACATTGCGCTTACTATGTCCACACTACTATTGAAATTCATGATTATTCCCGTATCGAACAACAATTATTATCTTTACCCTCACTTAAGAACCGTCGTGATATATCTGGAGCTATATTTATATATAAGATCATACATCCCCTTCATCAAGCTCTACGTTACCAAAATGTTTTCGATATTCCTTTCCATAGAACAACCTATGGTATTCACAACCCATTGGATAGATACATGGGGCTATTAAATGTTCACGATTTTTATATTTTCAATATTAACTCTCAGTTAAAAAGGTCTGTTGCTTTGTAATAAGTATATTGGGATTCTGGAGTTTTGTTCTTGTTATATGTTGTTTGTTTTTTTAGTACGTACGATTTTTGGTCTTATTTTTTAAACTTTTTCAAACTTTTTATTATTGATTTTATATTACAAGTAATATTAAGTTTTGAATCCTAACCGTGACGTTGTATATTGTAATTTAAACTGTTAATGGGGTTATCCCGTGTATTAAATAAATAAGTAAAAAAATCAGTAAATATTTTATACGCTAAAAACACTAGACCATAATTACGATAACATAAAAACAAAAAAACACTTCAAAATAAGATTTATATGAAACAGTCTTACTTGGTATATAGTTAAAATGCTTCTATAATAATATAGTTAACACATTATGATTAAAGTAATTTAAAAAACGTAAGAATATACCTATTTTATAAGTCATTTTGTTGAAATTCACACACTACAAGCGATGTATTCAATTGTATATGTTCCTAGTAGAGAAATCTCACAACTTTTACGATCGCTTCGATTTTCTTTTCTTTAATTATATAACGTGGAATGGCATTCTTTTACTAAATGAACGGAATTGGTAAGTGAAACTGAAGCAACGTTACCACTTAATCAGTTGTCGGTAAACATTGCAGAAAAACACAAGATAACATTACGCTGCTGTTGATAACAAGAGGTAGCTGCCTATACATACAGGATAGGAATAATTTGCATTTTGATAATAATATGGTTTGGATAACAATAACCAATTGCCTATATTTTGTTAGTTTTTTTCATGCAGTTTTTAATTTAAACCTGATTAGAGTAAATATAACTACATGAAAAGGTCCAAGAAATTTCGAGTATATACAAGAAACACCATGAGACTCGCCTGAAGAATGATCAAGGAAACTACGTTCATACACAGGAAGAACTAGCTAAAATCTGGGCAAACTATGCTTTGTCCCTCTTTGCGGATAATATACCGAATCTGCCCACTACTAACTTACCCACGACAAATTTATCCGGCCCTCCCATTATTCGCGCCGAGGTGTAGTCCGCTATAAAAGTAGCAAAACTAGGCAAGGCCCCTGGACCGGATGGAATTACTACGGAAGCCACAAAACTGTTGGAAGATGATAACATCGACATGCTGGTAACAATTTTCAATGCCATATATAACACCGTCCATATTCCAACGGATTGGTTTTATTCAACCTTCATAATGATCCCTAAATCACAAAGAGCGACAAAATGCAAAGACCACAGACTGATAAGTTTAATAAGCCATTTGCTTAAGGTGTTTTTTCGCATCCTTCAGACAAGAATGTTCAGAAAGCTGGAAGATCAAAGCGGTGAGACACAATTTGGTTTCAAGAGCGGACTGGGTACACGTGATGCAGGTTTCTGCTTGAATACGCTTGTACAAAACTTCATGGATCAACGAAAGGATGTAGTCATAATATTCCTCGATTATGAAAAAGCGTTTGACACCGTAAAAAGTGGCGCAATGATAAAAATGCTACACAACACACATTGATGAGAAAGATATAATAGTTATCCAGAATATCTATTGGAATCAAAAAGCACGAGTGAGACTGAACAAATCAACCAACACAGAAGAATTTGAAATTTTAAGACGGGTGCGACAGGTGTGTATTTTTTTTTCTTATGCTCTTCAATCTATATGCGGACAACATTTTTGCAGAGGCACTGGAAGGCTCTGAGTGTGGAATAAAGGTAAAAGGGTTTCCGATAAATAACATTCGTTATGCCGACGACACCGCGATAATAACAGACAACGAATGCAGTTTATGTTAAATAAAAGAAACACTATAGGAAAAATATATGGCTTAAAGATAAATGCTGGAAAAACTAAATGCACTTTAAGAATACAACTGCAAGTAGATAATGCTCCAATCGATCAAGTGAAAACATTTAAATACTTGGGAATGATGATGAATGACCAATGGGATACTCAACAAGAAATAATATGCCGTACCGAACAAGCAAGACAAGCTTTTATCTAATTTAAACCGCAATCTTTCCTTCAATCTCAGCTACATGGTTAAATGATATGTATGGTCCATATTGTTATACGGAATGAAAACGGAGACGTTAAGAGTACCTTGCATTAATAAGTTCGAAATGTGGACATTACGAAGAATGTTCCGCATACTATGGACAGATAGGGTGAGAACGAGGAAGTCTTAAGATAGGCAAATACTGAGAGAGAACTACTCAATTTGATCAAGGTAAGAAAAATCGGATACCTCGGCCATATTCTGAGAGAAAAAAAATACGCAATTCCTCAACTATTCATCCAGTAAAATATTGTAGGCAAGAGAGGAGTAGGTCGCAAACAAATGTCGTGGCTACGGAACATAAAGAACTGGACAGGCATGAATAACACTGGCGATCTTTTGCGTGCCGCAAAAGACAGACGTCCATACGAAGAACTATAAGTAGAGAAGGTAAATATATGATGACGCTACCCGTGACAACATGTTTTGTGGAGCTTGTTCCGTGACGCTCGCCTCAGCATTTTACTGTAAAAAAATACAACGCCAGTATAGAAGCTTCGCTTCTAGTGAAAAGTGAAATCCAGGTAACTTTTTAGGTGTTTGTTTAATTTTAAAGTAAAGACAAACATTGTTTTATAACAATAATTGCTTTCGTAACAATTTAAATTTTTAATAATTAAAAAATTGTAAATTTTAGATTTTAACTTTAGCTGTCATCTTAATTGTTGTTTTAAATTTAATGTTAATTTATGACAGCTCGTTTTAGTAATTTTGATATTGATTTGTTTTGTTTTTTAAAAAAAGGTTAACCTCCATGCAATTTTGTAAGTTTTGTAAGTTTTTTTGTATTTTTGTATTTTGTATATTTGAGGTAATATTTTTTGCGTTGTATTATTATGGTAACTGTTTGCGGTGACACAACAATAAATGTTAAATTTTGTTTCTTAACATTTTGTCTATTTTTTTAAATGAATCCCTTCTTTTTGAATAGTGTCCCAAGTTATCGTTTCAAAAATGTCGCCCAGATATGTTTTGATTTTTTAATAATTATTTCCCTAGTTACAACTAGCTGTTGTAATAGTTATAATTAGGCACCTCGAAGTGGCGCAATATATTAAATTACTAGATGTGTTTCCTGTTTATTTTTATTTTGTTTGTCTCAAGAGATTATGTTAGTACCCTTTTGTTTCTTTTCTCTGTAGTTGCCCCAACCCAACCCCCCTGCCATTTACTTATTCACGACCCCAGCTCTCCTAACAAACCATGAGTGCCGTTCGCACATGTTTCGATAATTTTGCTTGACATATCTCCACCCCCCTAGTTTCTGTCCCCAATTTTCTACCCCTTATATTAATAGCCCATGTGGTAGGCAAAATATTATCGTTACAATTTTAATTTAAAAACGGGAAAATAAGGATATCTTGATATAAAAAATTATATACTTAAATATTGTTTATGTAAAATATAAGGAAAAAACTTATAAACAAAAACTCAAATTGTGACCATAAATTGGACGTAGTTATGCAGAAGTGATCCATTCCACAATTTCTTAAAATATGAGTTAGACACAAATTTGCATCGGTAAAATTCGGAACTAAATTATGCTGAAATGATCCAACCTTTTCTATGCAAGACAACAGTAATAATAGTAAAATGTCCAACCTTAAACGCTCTTTTAGCTTTAATCGATTGTGCAGTAATGATTCATGCTACTTGAATCTTCAAATATTTTTAAGAGTAATTTACAAAAATGAACCAAGGCACATGGATCATTAATGCGCTTTAAAAATAATTTTAAAACCAGGCTTTAAAGTAATTTACAAAAATGAGTCAAGTCATATGGATCATTATTGCGTTTTAAAAATAATTTTAAAACGAGGCTTTATTTTTTAAGCCAAAATGATCCAAGTGGCCCGAATCATTTTTACAAAATTAAATAAAGTCAATAACACTAATGTATTTAACACTGTAATGATTCAAAAAGCTTGAATCATATCAGCAAATGTTATTCTCGCAATATTCTTTGGTCATTATAAATGCAGAAGTCTTACATTCCATAATGTAACGCTTGTGTAAAACAAAACACAAAGAAAAGATCTTATACCACATTAACCGAAGGATTACAAAGAAAAATTAAAAATTTTAGTCGTACCTATACTTTAGCAGGAAAAATAGTGTGCCGTGATATGTTTGTAAAAACATTAGGTATTTTTCCCCAAAAAGTGACCGTATCTTTAAAAAAAAAATGGATAGCTCTGATAGCATTGTTGACCAAAGAGGACAAAAGCAGGGAGGTTGGAATAAAACTCCTTCTGAAGACCTCAAACTTGCAATACGTCATCTAAAATCAATTCCAATTTACACATTACATTACAGAAGAACAAATTGCTCTAATGCCTTATTCCTTCAGCCAAATCTGACTGTAAGAAAACTGTATGAGTTGTATACTGCAATGGTAGTTGAAAAGTATCCTGTAAGAAAATGTGTTTCGTTTGAAAAATATAAGTCTATTTACTTAAACAAATTTAATTTACGAACAAAATCGCTTCACAAAGATACTTGTTTAAAATGTGATTTATTTAACACAAAAATAAAAAACGTTGCAACTGAAGAAGAGGAAAATTATTTAACTGACGAACATCGGAAACATGTTGAACTTTGGCAAAATGCAAGAGCAAAAATGAGGGACGATATAAAAGAAAGTCAAATGTCCCAGGAAATGGAATGCATCACATTTGATTTACAGAAAACTCTCCCACTTCCAAGAATACCTACAAACATCGTTTTTTTATAAACGACAACTATGGGTATATAATTGTGGTATCCACTTAGGATCAGAAGACAAAAGTTACTGTTATGTATGGATGGAAGGAGAAGCACGGCGCGGAGCTCAAGAAACTGAAAGTTGTTTAATTAATCACATGGAAAAATACCTGAAACCTGATGTGAAACATTTAATACTTTGGAGCGATTCATGTGGGGGGCAAAAAAGAAATATTAAAATTGTTTTGCTATTGAAACTCTTTTTGTCAAAACATTCAACTTTACAGAAAATTTCACAAAGATTTCTAGAACCAGATCATCCCTACCTGCCAAATGACACCAATTTTGGCAAAATAGAATCCGCTCTTAAGTTACAGCAGCGAATTTATACACCAGAAGAGTACATGGATGTCATGCGTTCGTGTCAAAGGAAGAAACCAATGGTGGTTACTAGAATGAAGAAGGAAAATTTCTATAGTACACAGAAACTTGAAAAACTTATCGTCAATAGAAAATTATCAACAGATAAGAAGCCCATAAATTGGCTTAAAACCAAAGAAATTTTATTAACAAAAGAAAACCCGTATTCCATTTTCATAAGAAATTCTTTTGATAGTGAATTTGTATAAGTGGATATTAAAAAAAAAATCTAAAAGTAAACTTTTGACAACAATATTTACTCCAGAAAATCTTTCGCCTCTATGGCCTAATGGTAAAGAGCTTTCAGCTCCAAAGTTAGAAGACATTAAGTCGTTGTTAGATCTTATTTCAAAACACTGTCAAAACATA